TCCTTTTTTTGACAGTGACCAGTTTGATGGATGAGAGAAAAGCAATGGACAGTGATATATGTAGACTTTAGTAAGTCTTTTGATGCATTTCCAACTGGGCATTCAAGTAGTTAGATAACCGCAAACAAAGAATAACCATTGAAGCAAGGCTGTTCAATCTTAGCTGGCGGCCACACATGAGGCAGGCTGCTTTCCTGAGGGCAATGCAAGATGCTGGCTACAGTCCCAAGGGTCTGTATGAGTAATCTGTTCCTCCCTACTCAGATTCTCCCCTGCCTCCTGGCCACACATGCCACACAGCTCTTCCCAATGCAGGTAAGCTTCCCTGCAGCATAGGTAGCTTAGATCCCCTGCTACATGTGCAGTGCTGCCTGTCTTCAGTGCAGGCAGTCTGGATCCTCTGTCACATGCAGTGCAAGCAGTCTAGACCCCTCTCTCACTGCACCCAGCACAAACAACCTGACCCCTGTGCTGCATGTGTGGCTTTGGCCCCCTGGCCCTCCCACTGCACTACCACACCCCATCCTCAGGAGCAGGGAGCAGGAAACCGTGGGGTTTGTGGAGGGCGTGCATAGGTCTGGGGGGTGTGGGTGTGTGTGGATGTGTGGGGTGGGGGTCAGTATGCTGTTTGTAGGGAAGAAGCTGGTTGGGGGGGTTGTGGCATGTGTGGAGGGGCAGGATGGCTGGGGTCTGTGAAGGGGGATGTGGGGTGTGCATGGGGAATGCAGGTGCATGTGTATGGCAGTCACGGCCTGTGGCAGATGGAGGCCCCCTGCGGTGTGTTGTCCTGGCAAGTGCCAGGACTGCATGTGGCCAGGCCAGTGGCAGGGTGAGTGGTGGAGCTAGCCTGGCTCCATGAAGCCTGGGCTGGCAGGAGCTCTATGCTTCTGCTGTCCTGCCCTTGGCCCCTGCCAGCATGGGCCCCATGCTCCCGCTTGCTGCCACTTGCCTGCTGGTGTTGCCCTTCCCTGGTGGCTTCTCTTCCCTTCCTTCGTGTCAGAGATGTGGGTTTTCCAGAAAATTTTCCAGTGACCTAAATAGTGTGATCTGATTTAGCATGTTTATTTGACTTGTATTTAGTAAACAAAACTAAAAAACATACCCCATGTTAATTTTGTCCCAATAGCCACAAGTATTTGAACTGAAATATTTGATTAGGAAAAAAATAAATACAGCACACTTAATGTGATTTAAATGTTATATTTAAACAAATTCAAAGCTTTATATGAAAAAAATATTTTTATTGGAATACTTGTAAAAATATTAAGATAATACACAATGGCATGTACTTTCGTTACGTTGTTGAAATTCAAGAAAAAAATGGCGCTGAAAACTGTTAACACTCATTTTAGCACACTCAAAGAACTGTGCATGATATGCTGTGCTTTGGTTTTGATTTGACCTGCACAGCCAATTAGGTGAATTCATAACTTGATTTTTGGTTTGGATTATCGTGTGTGTATTTACCCTCCTGTTTACAAATCAGTAACACATATATGTACTCTCACTTCCTAGGGATAATCAACTGAAAAATATTAATTACAACTTTGAAACTGCCAAGCTTGCCTACCCTTATATTGGCATTCCCTCCTTATTACTAATGAAAGTTATGAAACAGTTGATTTTTAGAAATGGAAAATTTCCCATGGAAAAATAAAGCACTGGAAAATTTTCTGCCACACATCTCTGCTTCCTGCCTGCTGCCACCACTCCTCCCTGTGCCCGTCTGCCACTCCAGCACCATGCAATTCCCAGCTGCGTGGCCAGGACCACACAGCACAGCAGGAGCCATCAGGGAACTAACGTGGCTGGGCCAGGCTGGCTTCTGCTGTACTGGTGATCCTCCCCTGCTCCCTCCACCCATTCTTATCTCTGTTTCTTTTTTGGGTGGAGGGAGAGTGGGGGGGGAACAGCCACAGGGTCCAAGGTTGGAAGCCTCTAGGCAGAATCTTCCAGTTGGTGCCCGGGGGTGGGGTGGGCCTTGCTGCTGCAACTGGGTCCTGCTGCTGCTGGCACCTTGTCATCTTTGACAGGCAGCCAGGGGCAAATGAATACAGGCAGTCCTTGACTTAGTGTTTCAAGTTACAACGTTTCGCACTTACAACATTTATATAAATTGACACCGTTTCAACTTTATGACGTCCATTTCAACTTAAGACGCTTGATCCAATGCAACGCCATGCCAGCAAACAAGTTTGCTGTGCTGCTCATCTCCCTGGAGAACATCTGTCCAAACTTGCTTGGACACTTTCTTTAAGAAAGCAGACAAGACTCCAGAAAAACTTGCCGCCAAGACTCCTGAGAAGACTCCAGCCAAGAGCCCTTCAAAAAGTCAAGTAAAGTCACCCCAAAGAAGCCCTTCCAAATCAATATGATTGCTATTTACGATATAAATACATTAATGTAGCTATATTACTCATCTATAATTGATCGAGTTCAAAATTCTGGGGTATTTTTGGTGAAAATAGGGCATCAGGCCTTGATTCAGGAACCAATTGCCCATTTATGACATTGTTTCTTATGAGAAAATTGGTTCTGAGTTGCAATGTTTCGACTTGAGATGAGGTTTTCAGGAACCAATTGCAAGTCCAAGGACTGCCTGTATTAATTTTCTAAATTTTTTAGGGGCACCATGGGCTGGATAGAATGGCCCGGTGGGACGTATCTTTCCCACCCCTGTTATAGATTAATTCAAGGAGGCATCAGCTTTTGTAAGCATGGCTTACTTCATCAGGTGGATCCTTGTTGGATTGGCAGGTGGTCTCAAGTGGGGTTCCACAGATGTCTGTTATTCAACATCATGTTGCTGAAACAATAAAAAAACAAAAAACAAAAAAAAAAAACACAACCCCCCCCCCTCCATTTTTGGTTGTGTTAACAGAAGCATTTAATACAAGGTCTGGATGCTGATAGCACATGCTGTTCAGTGTATTGCATTTTTTAAACAATGTAGAGAAACTGGAGGGTCAGAGGTCATTGCCAGAGATGATACAGGTTTTAAAAAGTAAGCAGTATGAGGAAAGGGTGAAAAACCAGGCAAGTTTCCTCTTGGAGAAAGATGAAGGGGTAACATGACAGCAGTTTTCAAATATTTTTAAAAAATGCTATAAATAAGATGAAGTAGCATTCTTCCTTGCCACAGAAGGGAAGGATGTGAACTGGTGGTTTTAAACTAAAGCATATTTGAAGAAAAACATTTTAACTGTAAGAACAGTAGGGTAATGGAACATGCTGGCTAGGGGAACTGCAGAACATCCTTCATAGGATTTTTCATGAAGGATGTGTAGGCCTGGGATGATTTAGGAGCTGTGCATCTGTGCAAGGATTGAACTAGGTGTCCCTTGAGTTTCCCTCTTTAAACTTATGATGCTGTGATTTGCCCAGCATCACATGGGAGCTCTGACTTAATCCAGTTTCCTGGAAATGGCATTCAGCTGCCTTAAACACAAGCTTGTCCTTTTATTTTTTCCTCTCTTCTGTTTACTATGCACCTGCTATTTCTACAGTAAATGAGTAAGAGGTCTTATACATAGCAGCCTTATTTACTGTGTAATCTTGATTCTTTCCAAGTGCTGACCTTCCTGTTCACTTAATTAGGTGGCATCTTATGGAAATAGTATTATGAAATATGTGATTTAAAATAATATCATAATGCATCAATAAATGGACATGAGTAAAATCCTACAGGCAAGCTTAATTCAAGTGTATCTTAATGTAAAGTACTTAACATAGGTTTTTTGAAGGGGAGAAGCTATGTATGTATATGTGTGCGCATGCATACAGCTTCTTATGGTTCTGTGTGTTTTTGTTTTGTATTGTTTTTAAACAAGCTTGGGTGGGTGAATAATTTGTTATATACAATTGTAATAACACTCCAAATTGTGAATCTTTTTATCAGTTTCATAAAACCTTACCACTTGAGCTAAAAGAGTACCAAGTTCATTAGTAGGCTGCTATTCTGCATGTGGATCAGTCAGTGGAGGGGGACCAGGGCACAACATTTTTAGTGAATAGTTTCATAGTTATTCCCTAGACAATAAAGGTATGTTGGACATGGGAATGCTGAGCATACTCCTATTTTGAAGTGCACTATGATCTGTTAATTAAGATCCTTCTGCTACTTCCTTTCCCTCAAGCTCATACTCTTTTGTCACTGGCTCCTTTTCTTCTTCTGTTCATCTACAGACTGTCAGTCCTCTGTTTGTTCCCCATCCATCTTCATTCAGATATAGTCTAGTCTTCCGCAGTGCTCGGGTACTAGCAAGAGGAATACTGAAAACATGGAAGATTCACTCCTGGCTTTCAGTTATAGCATCATGTGCCAGAGAGGCTTGCAGGAACCAGAAGGACCAAAATAGTCCTAAAGCCCTGGGATGGAGAAGCTTGGTTGGCATATAGGAATTGTGTAGGCATGGAATGTGCTCAGTGTAAACATAACATTGAGGAAAAATTACCTACTGGATTTGGACCATTAGTGAGGTGGGAAACAGGGAAAGACTGGTGGGGGATGTAGAAGTGGATGGCAAGTTGGGCAGCAGTGACCACGATTATAATTACCATGTAGGGTTGAACTAGTAGGGCTTGTGGCAAGAGCCACAACTGTTTCCCAATTTAACTCTGCAGGAGATACGTGGTACAGTTCCACCTGGCAGCCACTGCAGTGGCAATAGGCTGAATATAATATTGTATGATTATCTAATCCCTAACATATTAATTAATAACATAATTATCATGTATATGATATTATTCATAGTCCGTTTAAATAAGACCTTTTACTGAGATGCCACTAAATTTTGAAAAATTTTGGAGGAGTGCATTGAGTCTAAATAAAGGTTGAGAACTACTGTTTTATTCTAAAATGTTAATCGGTCCTTGCACATACTGCTTTGTGCATATAATCTTTGAATACTGTGCATGCCTCCATATTTGTAATCTTACATCTTCAGAATAGTCTGTGCACTTTTAAAAATGTAATTTAATATTTTCATGTTTATTTTTAGTATACCTCCAGATAATCTCTCTATTCAAGAGTTCCAGAGAAATGAAAGTATTGATGTTGAGGTGAGAAAGTTTATATAGAATGTTTTTGCACTAATATAAGTAGAGTTAACTAGAAAGTTTAAACTTGTAAGTAATGTACTATTGTGAATTCATACATGGAAAGAACTGCGGTTAATACTAACCATTGCAGATTTAGCTATAACTTCTTTTTTTCTATTTAGTGAAAACATAACAAAAATAGGTCCCAGGTTGTAACTGCATGACCTTTAGATATGCAAAGGGTAGCATGTTTGGTACAGAAGCTCCTTTTATATCAACTGGGATGCAACTAGGGTGGCCATTGTATCTCCAGAATACAAGACATCCCCTTTGGCGCGTGGCAGGGGGAGGGGTGAGACCATTGGCCAATCAGTAGTGAGGGGTGGGGCTGCCACCTGGACCATAAGAAGTCCACCATCCTCCCTCCTTGGCTGACTCGGAACCCTGCTCCTCCTGGCTGTGCACTGCCTTACCTCTAAGCACAGCTAATAGAATCACAAGGACAAATGATTGACATGCATTTCCATCAGTGAACTGAAAATCAGGACTCTTTACAGTCTGTTGCTCATTTAGTAACAGAAAAGAGACAAAGGGTTTAAAAACAGGATGGTCCAGTATTAAACAGGACCAATAGTCATCCTAAGTGCAACTGAATAGGAGAGGGAAAGATTTAGGATGTCTTTGACTTCAGTGCATTGTCTGTCTTAATTTCCACTGATGATCACTTACTCATACAGATAGTTGCAAACCAGTGAAAGTAAGGAATTCACAGTCTGGCCTAAAATGATTTCCACATGTTGCATTTCCTTGAGAGTGAACCAACTTTCTTGATTTAGCCAGTAGTGATGATTATTTCAACACTGACTTTGTGTTTCCCTCTGTATCAAAGACAGAGGAAAATGTGGTACATACTCTAAGAAGGTTAAATATAACTGGACAGATGAAGTTTCCTGACACATTGTCCATGATAACCTCAGCCAGGTTATCAGAGAGAGAGCTGCTGCTGCTTTTCTCACAGTTGAGGATGATTGTTTTCCATGATTGATTTATCAGAGAGGGAGCACTGCACTTTTAATGGGTGTGCTAACTTGCTTGGGTTAACGCTAGAAAAACCTTTAGAGAAGGAAGATGTCTGTGACTTAAAAGAAACCAGTGACCTTTTATATCAGTGGAAATGTGGGACTTCAAAGGCAGTGATAACAAAGAGCTTGAGTTGTCACCTCTTCAGAGCAGCAGCAAAGTTACGCAATTCTCAGTATGAAAACAGAAGCAGGACCCTCTGTAATGGCCACTGTTATTGTATCTAATTGATTAAGCTCAGTGATTTCAGGTGACTTCATTCTTGAATAAGAGCATCACACAGAGTTGATCTTTTCTCACTGATGTGCACTGATTCCATACCTTTCGTTGATTTTTTTCCCTTTAATTTTTCCAAATGGCCCCTATAGATGTGAGCTCATAAATATATCATTTTACTTCTACTTGTTTACATATATGCCGTTTGCTGTCCTCTTCTAGTTGAGATATTGAGTGGGCTGTAGTGGCCAAGAAGATAGTTATTCTGAAGGTCAGATCTTTTCTCCCCAAACTATATAATTCTATTTGAAGTAAAGATTTTACCAAACACTTTTCAAAAATTAATGGAAATGTCTAAATGATCAGAACTTTAGAAAATAAGTCAGGAACCTAAGATATTACTTTAGCAGCCCAACTTATATTTGAAATCTTAGCATTTATGTGTTTGCAGATTAACACTAGCAAGCATGGCAAATACATGATTCTTAGCTTAAAATTTCACTCATTACATTCATACTATACTTGAACAGTAAATTTTCGTTCTTCAGTACATCCTTTCTTTAACATTGTTTATCTCGTTCCACACATTTGGGAATTTAAGTCTCATAGGTGTTAGAATTGGAATTCTAATCACTGATTTCCCCCTTCTGCCTTCCCCCCAGGAAACAAATTTAAGTATGTTTTATTTTTTTAGGTTGTGCAACTTATCAGTACAGAGATACTGCCATATGCTAATTTTATTCCCAAGGAATTTGTTGGTCAGATAATGACTATGCTTAATAAAGGCTCAATACATTCTCAGTCATCCTCATTTACAGGTATGTTATATGAACAGTAATATAAATGCAGTATGAAAACTCTCAGGAAAGTAAACTAAAATGTGCACATTAGAATGCCTATTCCACCAAAGATTTTATTTTCAGATATCACACTATTATATCATGATAAAGTTTCCAACATAGATGATTTTATATGGCATCATTATAAAGCTGTGATGCATTTTATCCTACAAAGAATTTCTTTACTTGTTAGTCTTACCTTTATTTTCTTCCTTTTCCTTCCACTTGCTTTCCAACTTGAGTCTTGGCCAAATTTTGAGACAGCTGTAAAGCATACAGAGTATCCTGTCTCGGGCAGTGAAATGTGTTTTAAAAATATGCAGCTAATGTTTGAGTTCTAGGAATTGTCAAATTGTTAAACATCTTTTTTCAGTTTGTCTATTTAACAGTATTTGTAAACAACATTATCCTTATTGAATACTGAGGTGCAGAGATGTTTTCTTGCAAAGTATGGTTAAAGCATGGATTGTACTACAAAATGTAAAGCATGTATAGACCTGCTTGTTGCACTATTAAATATAACATTTTGCTTTGCAGAAGCAGAAATAGATATTCGAATGAGAGAGGAATTTTCTAAGATATGCTTTGAAACTCTGCTTCAGTTTTCATTCAGTAATAAAGTCACAACTCCTCAGGAAGGCTACATCTCTAGAATGGCACTCTCTGTACTTTTGAAAAGATCACAAGATGTACTGCATCGTTACATAGAAGATGAAAGATTAAGTGGCAAATGTCCTCTTCCACGGTATGTACTATATCTGTTTAAAAAACAAAATATACAACATTGTGCATATGTACGTGCACACAAAAAACACAAATATGCCAGCATTGTGTGGTAGAAAATAGCGTATTATAATTAAGATTGATTCAAGCAATAAAAATGTATTGTAAGAGAAAGTATAAGGCAAGTAGGAGGGGTTTCAGATTGTGTTGACCACATTTCCTATTAATTGGCAGAATTGTAAAGTAGCAATTATTTTTTGTATTTGATTATCCAGAGGTTAGGAGGAGGATATTACAACTTTTCTCAGTCCCTGAAATTAAAAGTAGTGCAGTGTTTCTATAGCTAGTTCCTCATTTATTTCCAGGGTAGCTATTTAGAGTTTCTAAACTGCTGGAGAGGGAAAAAATATAATACCTCTAAAATAGAACAAATAGTACCCTGAGGTATTATTGGAACCAGTTTTTTTTGTTGCAGGAAAAAAAACAAACATTGGATCTTATATTGTGGGTGTTTGTCTGTTGTTATAAGCTTCCCTGAGCTTTTTTGGGTATGGCAGGATCTAAATCCAAACAACAACAATAATAAACAGACACGGTAATTCTTTTCAAGAATATCTAAATAACATAGGTGCTTAAAGTCTACAATAAACTTTTTGGAAAATGTTCCAATAATAAATTGCCTTTCTGGGACTTCTTGGATATTCAAAAGTAATCATATGTATAAATATGTGCTAGACTGAGATCTATATATTAACATTATTTCTAAAAAACGTAAAATTAGAAATAAAAATATATTGAAGTATATTTCTAAAAATGAAATATAATACCATCCTAACTTGCAGCAGGTATGTAGGGAAGTTATGACTTAAGATTAGCATGAACCTCAGATATAAACACCTTAGGTGTTTTCCTTGGATTTTGTTTGAATTGTTTTATTGGTTAAATATTATTTTTGTTTGCTATATAATAGTATAACCTCATGAATCCAGCATGCTCAGGACCAAGCATTTGCCAGAAATTTGAAAACTCTGTACTTTTTAAACTGGAGTGGTGGCCAGTCCCAGGAGCGGGGGGCAGGAGAGGAGTGGCAGACAGTCCCAGAGCAGTGGCCACACGTGGAGCGGCAGTGCAGGATGGTGGATGTCAGCAGTAGCTGCCACATGCAAGCTTCCCCTTCTGCTACTCTGGAACCGGCTGCTGATACTCCTCAATCCAGTGTAGTTTTAAAAAGTGCTGGATTTTTGAGAATTCCAGATATTTGATTTCTGGATTTATGAGGCTATACTATAATTAACAGGAAACTATATTCTGGAAAACATTTTCTGAAATTATGTATTTCTTAGTTTATAATTCTTTCCCCTATAGGCAACAAGTAACAGAAATCATATTTGTTTTAAAAGCCATCAGTACACTTATAGATTCACTTAAGAAAACTCAGCCTGAAAATGGTAAGTTGTTGTTAAACAATGAAGTTGTAAATGAAATAGAATTGTCTTCTCTATCCTATGTATGTGTTTGTTTAATGTTTTTATGCAGTTTCCAGGGGATGTGATATCCATAAGGCTTCTTATTTTGCACTTTTATGCATGTTTCAGAAGCCAGGTAGTTATTTTAAAATAACATCTTTCCAATAAACCAGTTGGCATACAGCTGTAAGATGCATACTACAATAGGAAGTTTCCACTCTAGGACTAATGCCTTCTCTTAATAGACACCTTTTAGTTATTAAATCCAATATCTATAGCATCTAAAATAAAATGTTACCTCTTTAGCTTTCAGTGGTTGTCTTCAGCAGTAACCTTGGTAGATGCTGTTTACCTATGCAATATTCTTTTCAGATTCTTAGCTGGCATTCGCTCTTGGGTCCATCCAGTCTACTGTAGTCAGGTTTAAGATAGGTATTTCTATATGGTGACACTGACAAGGTATCTTTGCTTGCTAAAGATACCATCTGTGTAACCTTTTCATTTCTGGCTCTTAATGGTAGGAACATGCACTGTTACATGCTTCCATGTTACGTGCTTGCAACAGTTTTAACAATAGACTAACAAACAGTTTATTTTTTATCTTTAGCAATTAAGGAGCCAGCAGCAAGAATTATGCATTTCCTGTCACCTGATATTGTTTTGTTTTATCATGGGAAGCAGTGGGAGTTTGTGAATTCTTTTAGGACCTTACACAGCAGATATATGCAGCGCATGCACAAATAGGAATTTAAAGAAATTCACTAAGTGAAAATGGCAAACATCAAACAATTGATCACATAGTATGTTACTGATCATATTCCTTTTTTGGAGGAATAACAATTTCATATCACACTTCCTACAGCTCTAGATAGATTATCAAATTTCTTAGACTGTTATTGTATGAAGCCCTGAAAATGGTTTAAAACACCATTATCAAGGATCACAGATCCAAATTTGACACCTCCTTTTTAAATAATAATTATTGCCTAGATAGAGTTGAAAAATCTGTCGAAAGCACACTGGTGGTAAAAAAAAAGGCAACAAATAGACTCCACATTTTGAAAAAATGTGCACATCCACTGCTCAAGATCATATGATATTGTTTGTTTATCAGTATTTAGAAGCAGAGTAAGAGAAAATTGTTCTGTCTTTTGCTCATGTCCTGTCTTGTTACACTTCTGCTGAGGAAATAGGAAATGTTGTGCCTCTGGTCAGAGCTGCTGAATAATATCCCTGGGAGTTCTTCCATGTTTACTTGAATACTACATGTCCCTGGATAAGATGCACTCTCTTTTCAGAAGTCACAGTGGAGAAAAATTTAGTTTTTCCTTTCCAGCCTCATTGACACTGGCTGCTGCAGCAATGAGAGCAACAACTTGTGGCTGCTCCATTGACCCAGTAGCTTGCTGGCTGGCTGTGGGCAGTCAGAGCCCTGTAAGCTCACTGTACTGCCTGCCCCCTGTGCAGCACATGCAGAGTTACTCTCCCTTTCCCCTGGTCGCTGCCACAGTTCAGTATGAAAGTTTTCCTATCCAGATCAAGTCTTTACCAATGGTCAAGAATAGAGAAGGCGGGGAAAAAACAAATAAGCTTAGATAACTTGCATGGTTTTTTAAATCTAAAAATACATAGCATCTTGGATTTACTAGTATCTGCTTATCTAGATTTCTTGTGTTTTATGTGTATGTATAGTAAAAAAGTTTTTTGTTGTAAAAGTATGAACAACAATAAGTGATTTCATTTGTTGTTTTTTGTTACAGTTGATGCTAACACATGGGCACAAGTTATTGCTTTGTATCCAACTTTAGTAGAATGTATCAGCTGTTCATCATCAGAAGTTTGTTCTGCTCTCAAAGAAGCACTAGTTCCCTTTAAGGACTTCATGCAGCCACCAGCATCCAAGGTACAAAATGGAGAGTCTTGACCAGATAAAACTTTCTTTTATTTTTTAAGGAAAAAATATCCCAAAAATATTTGTTTCCAAGAGAGGCTTCTCTGAGGATATCTCTTGTGGTTGGTACATGGCAACCAGTGTTGACTGCCTTTTAACTGTACTAACAAGAGCTCAGTAATTCATGAATTCATACAAGCTTGTATCTCAAAGGTGCCAGAGTGAGTAGCAGTGCAAGCCTTTAATACATTTAATTGACTAGGGTGGAATCAATTATAATCTAATGTACTAGCTACAGTATCTTGAAGTGGTGACTGAAAAGTGGGCTTATGTACAGCTTGTTGTGTATGTGTTAATGATGTAATTAAAAAAAAAAAAGTATTTCGATTCAGTCAGATTTATTGGGCTGGTGTTTTGCACCCTTTTTTGAAGTACGGAATTGTATTAAAATTTTATGCAAGATGGTACTGTAACATTCCATATTATCTGTAACCAGCCTTTGTAAACAAAGGGAACTGATACACGTGTGTATAATAAATGGTACAGTTCTGTATAAAATAGTTGCATTTATTATTTAAATTCTTTTTAAAATATTGATCATGTTAAACGCTTGATAACGTATTTATTATGAATAAGTTATATGCTTGCATTTTTACTTACAATTTGCCGTCTTAATTGGCAGATATGCTTATTCATATTTGATCATGCAGTTAATTTTTTTTGCTTATCTGAATGTATCCTATCTGTGGCCATTGGACATCTCAACAAAGAGGTCATATGACAAAAGACAGCAGCAAACAGTCAACAATCTGCTGATTTCAAACTTTAAAATAGATGACCTGAAATGAGTTTGAATATGCAGAAATACACTGTAGTAATCCAACTTTCTACAGTACCTTACTTCACAAAGTACTTGTTTCAGTGTATTCATTTTACTTGCGTCTGCTCATTTTTGTAGTTGCTGTCTTGCTTGAAAAGAACATTTTGTATTTGGGATTTATATCCCTTTTTGTTCATAATGGCAATTGTCACTGTCTTTGAACTATGACCCAGGAAAGGTGATTTTCAAATATCTCAAATATTTGGCTGTAAAATTTTTGTTTGTTCAATAATCGTAAGCTCTTTGTTTTGTAATGTCTTTTCAACCCAAACAATAATTGTTCTAACCTTTAAGTATAAAATGTGTGTGATAAAACCATGGGAAGTGTATTTTTGAAGATAGTTATTCATTAGAAGTGCAGTAAACTTTCTGTCATGAAGTAAATGAGATCTTTGTTTCCCTTTCATGAACTGCATAACTTAAGTAAAACATCTGAGTAGCAGTAGTCTTGTTAAAGCTAAGCCATGAAATAGCATACCATTTGTATATAATTGTTATTTCAGTAGTAATTCACCTGTATGTTGATGTTTATGACCATTGAGAGAGCACAAAGGCAAAGCTTTTTAAAAAAAGGAGTCTAAGTTTTTAGCTTCTAAATTCACAGCTAGGCTCTTGCCTGCTTTTCCAAGTATTGTATTCCAAACAGTTACTTTGGAAGTCATATGAGATTATTAAGAGCTGGTATAATCAGAAGTTAGAAAAAATCAAATATGTGCCTTTTTATATGGACTTCAGAGTTCAATGGTAGATTTCCATTCTTTAAAACCTTATGCTGATATTAAAAGTAACGATCATGCATAATACTAATACTTTTCAGTTTGCTTTAAATTTATGTAGGATACAGGGATATCCACTTGTTCATGTGAACAGATGCAAATTTACAGGAAGTGCTAGTGGAGTGTGTGTTAGAGGATGAATTGACCAGAGTTAGAGTTACTGGATTTATATAATGCTAGTTAGTGCTGTTGTTTTAAAAAGTAAGAGAACTTTTTTCTCTATTTTAAAACACATTAAATACACAGTGAGCTTTAAGACCTTGTGTACTCTTTTATGAATGTTCTATGGAACTCTATCCTCAATCTTGGATAAAACTGCTTCTAGCCCAGTTTTAGAGAACACAAAATTTGTACTAGAAAGCCAAATGCCAGCTGAATTAAGTTTGAGGAGCATCTTACAATGATTTAGGACTCATCTGTACCACAGCAATGGTGCTGTGTCTTGGGGTTGATCACACCCCACCTACCTTAGTCTGCAGATCTGCTCCAAGACTAGAAGGTTGCCAGTCAGGCTGCTCCTGTCTTATCAACAGTTCTCACTCTTGAACTCTTGAGTTTCTGGCTGGCCTGAGATGAGATGGTGTGAGCAGTAAGTCTAGAGCAGCTTTACTTGTGAACTCCCAGCTCCTGTGGTTTCTCAGATGACTCGGGTAGGCTGGACATGGACAAAGCATGCTCAGCCCTGTCCTCTCTAAGAGTGGCCACTGACATGGTATGGACAAGCCTTTAGTGTCAGTTTTAATATAACAAAGGTATCTTTTTTAGAAGCAGTTCCAAAATATAATACAGGAGCCTTTATGCAACTGAATATCTGTTATCAGTTCTCTAACAGTGAAAATTTAAAAACAACTGTGATGCCAACAAGCAACAGGTTTTGGGGACCAGATATTGTTGCTATCCATGGAAGAAGGATCATGGCCCATAATGATGTAGGGGACAAAAATAAGAAGAATTGGAGAATGGTAGCCCCTTCGCCTTATTTAGAATGTACCATCTTAGTTTACATTATTAGGGAGGCAACATATACATGCGAGTTCATTATTTTTAGCTGTTTTTTAATTTGGGAAATCAGGCTAAAGGTACAATTACCTCACTAATGTACATGCTCATTTTAGTTGAGTGAAGCTCCTTCAGCTTTGGTCTTTACCAGACATCTTATGTTTATATTTAGTTCTGCTTCTAGAACTTTTAATGTACTTTTATCATCTACAGATGCATACCTTTTAAAAACTATGAAAAGCAGTCTTCCACCATTTGTTCATTTATCATCCCTTTAGTTGTTAAATGAATGATATAGCTTTGTACATCCTGAATTTGCCCTACAGCTGACATTTGAATCTATTTGGCCATCCTTTCCTATTTCATGTAAATTACTAGCATATCAGAGCTAATAAAACATGCATTTAATTTGGAAGAGAGCTTTTCTACTGGTTAGTTTCGTTTGATGAGAATCTTAGTCTCATTATAGTATCTACCTGCTTACTATCTGAAGTCTTTCTTTTCTCTGTTGAGACTTCTTACTGTCTAATATTTATCCATCTTTGCACAGCTTTGTCAAATTTGATCAAAACACAAATTTTCAACCTCATAGCAAGAGAATCTATGTAGCTTTCTTGTAAAGAAAACTAGGAAATATTTAGACCTTGAATCTGCAAGTATCATGCACGTGTTTTAACTTTACATACATGAGTAATATGAATACTTGACTTGAGTAATATATGTGAAATGTTTACAAGATTGAGGTTTCCACAGTATTGCTGAAAGCAGCTAAAGGAGAGTAATACTTATCGCAAGGGGCAACTTGATGATCTCCCTCAGACTGCAAGTGACTATAAGGAGATGCATCTTCCACAAGCTCTGAAAATAAAATAAAAAATATCGGGAGCCAGAAATGAAGATGGACTGGTCCTGATGACTGCAGTCAAATATCCAGGGGTCAAAAAAACCTGCAGAGAAAAAAAGTGGAGCAGCACACACACAGGTAGTGCTTGCCACTCAAAAGTGGAGCCTGGTTTGTTGGAGCCAGGCTGCAGCTGCTGGTCAGATTCTGCATGGCAGAATTGCTGCTGCTGCAGCTGGAGGAGGCCCCCAGAACCCTAGGTAAGGCTGCTGGGGCCAGCCCAGTGCTGACCCCAGCCTCCCCTTCCACCCTCAGGGTAACTTGCTTCATGCCAGAGGGCGTTTCCCGGGAACAACTAGTGGTGGTGCACTAGTGGTTGTCCCCAGGGAACCAAACATCCACACCACATATGGATGAGGCATAGGTGCCCAAGCAGGATTCTGTTCCACCCTTTTCAAGTCCTTGAAAAATAGTTAATGCAACAGATGAGTGGGTCCTTTTCCTTCTCAATGTTTGTTTTTTTTTTGTGTGTGTGTCAGTCATAAGGGTAAAGTATTACGAAGTAGGTACATTGATGGATTTTTAGAGACTTGAACAGGTTTGAAGTGAATCACACTTAAGCACCTAAGTTCACTGAAGATGTTAATTTAGGTAAAATAGAAGTTGGCCCCTAGGGTATCTTTATTTGACCACCCTAATGTTGATGTTATTTTTTGATAATTTTATTACAGACTCTGTAATGGACACTCAGGTTGTTCCTGAGGTGACTTACCATTAGCAAAAGTTTTGTTGTCCTTCTCCTTTCTTACCTGACTCTTTTTTTTCCCCCCTCTTAGTAGTGTCAATATCGTGCAATATCCGAGCTATTTGAGACCGTAGCATAGTTTCGTAATACATGGAATTTAACTGCTAGAGTACTTGATATACTTTTAAGCTCTTCATGTTTTTGACAGAGGAAGAGAAATCAGTATTCCTGTTCCACTGCATGTGTGTCTGCATTGCTGAACTGTTAAACAAAATTCAATGTAACAAGGAAGTTTCAAACAATCACTTTAAGCAAATTTCTTCTGTTTTCTTATCCTCTAAAAATTGTACTTGCAGCATAGACCATCTGACATTTTACCCTGTTTATATTCCTGTCTATGTAGGTTAATCTATAAATAAGGAGCACAAATTATTGTTTATTCTTCTTGGAAATAAGACTTTGGCAATTTACATAAAATAATTGCTTGTAAGAAGAAAGCAGAATAATAGAATAGTATTTTAGTAATCTATATTTTAAAACGCAATATGGCTTTTGCCCAGTTTATGCAGTAAAATGCAAAGGTAATCGGGCACATATGAAAATATTTTTAGTAGAGGCGTACTGATACATAGGTCTGATACTGGATCAGCATGGATTTATAAAGAAAATTGACTATATCAGAAATCAGCCAGGTGTGGCCGATTAATTTGGCCAGTAAATGCCTGTGCATGTGTATAGCCACAGTGCAGCATGCAAGCAACGAAGAGCACAGCCTGGCAGCTTGGAGAGCTGTGTGCAGCTGGTAAGTCTGTTGTAGTGGAATGGGAGGAGGGAAGAAAGGGGCATGGGAAGGCAGATCAAGGTCCCCGTGGTGAGGGAGGGAGTGGGGCTGGGGTAGGCACTGCCCAGCTGGGGCAAGGCACAGGACGGAGCCATGGCTTGTCTGGGGGGCACGGGGAGGGGGAGTGGCTTCTGCTGCTGCGTGCACCCTGGAAGGGAATGGGGGGACACGTGCCCCCCAGATCTGTGCAGGGCAGGCTGCAGCTGGGGGCCTTGCTGGGCTCTTCCCAGGTCTGGGCCATGCTGTGCTTGGGGTGAACGGTGGCACTGGCAAGGGGCTGCAGCCACCCCAAAATTTATTGTAGCCCCCCCCATAACCCTCCTCCCAGTGCTTCTGCTACCCTCCCCAGCTGCAGCCTGCCCTGCCCCTTGCAGATCCAGGGGGCACATACCCCCCAGCCCCATGCCTTCCTGGTGTCCATGTGGCAGTGGGAGCTGCTCCCCCTCACCGCGCCCCCCCCCGCCCAGATGAGCTGCTGCTCCATTCTGCACCCTGCCCCACCCCACCCTGGCTGGGCAGCACCTATCCCAGCCTCACTCCCTCCCTCAACACGGTGGGCATTGATCTGCCACTCCCCCCTTTCCATCACAACAGACTTTCCAGCTAGGTGCAGCTGTATTGGAAATCAGATTGATATTGGCTGATATGCCTCCTTTAAAAATTGACTATTGGCCCCCCAAATCTCTATCGGTGCACCCTTAATTTTTAGTAGCGTTCCAATAGATGAGTAGGATTTTATTGTACGACTGAATCTGTTCTGCAAGTGTGCATATATTGGAGAGGCAGGGTGAATCAGTCATGACCGATATTCACAGAGCAGTTTACTTTTATAAATTTGGTATACAGCTTTTCAGTTCTTAAGGATTAAGTTTTAAACTTCAAAGGCATTTACATTGAAAAATGTTTGTTTTCATTATGCTTTATTTTGTTTGCAAGCTTCTTCATATGGCTACACTCATTGTTAGGAGACTCAAGACCATGCTGTATGTTTGTGGCATAATTAAGGATTATTTTGTGTAAATATTTTGTCAGAAGTGATGGGGAAAAATAAGCAAAAGCATGAACATTGCCTGAATATGCCATCTGTAATTGATGCTAGATTTGTCATTAAGAAAAAATGTATATTACATAGATTTTGAGACCATTTCAAACTTCTACAGTTGTAACCTAAGAGCGTTTTTATTGTGTGTTACTCTGCCAAGAAAGAAACAATCCAATGAATAAGTAACACAGCTAGTAGCCTTTTCTTTATTCAGACAGAAACAGGGAACTGCTGTTCTTGAATTACGAAAGTTTAGTTGTACAAAACAGTTTTAGTCTGAAGCTTTTACCACAACAAGACATTCCTGGCAATTCATTTTTGTCTCCGAAAATTAATTACGGTCTAGCAAGGATGTCAGACCTAACCCTGTTCATGGACATGGTTTTAGCTTAGCCTTTTAAGTGCCTTACTTGTAGGTGGCTAATAAAGTTTATTGTTTACAGCCACTTATAAATGCTTGTACACTTCCTAATGTGTTTTGTCTAAACAGTTTGCAGATTGGTTAGGAAACTGGAATGCTGCAACAACCATGTATCATGCTGACCAATCTCGTCTCATTGTTACCTTGTGCACACTTGTCTTTTTCTGTCTGCATTTATCTGTTGTGTCTCATCTTTTATAATTAGATTGTAAGCTCTTTGGGGCAGGAACCACCTTTTGTTGTATATGTATAATGCTTCTGTCAATGGGGCCCCTGATTAGGGCCCACAGGCACAAATAAAATGATGATGATTTAGGCAGACAAGTGGTTTTACATTGGAGGTAAGGTAAAGGACTTTGTCCTCCAGAAATGTATTTCAGTTAAAAGGTATATCTTTGCCATATAGATCATCATTGCACTGATGTTTTATTAGAAGTTATTTCACTAAAAGATAGAAGAAACATCCTTTCAACCCACCATAAATGTGTAGCTGATTGTTCAAACTGGAAATCTACGTTGCACGTGATGCTAGCCATATTACCTCCTTGTGCGCCATTGCCTGTAGAAACTGCCTTAATTAGACTACCTAAATGGGCCATTAGGCTGGCAAAGAACTTGAAGTAGAACACACAATTGTACTCTACAAGGCTGCTGATTTCGTAACTAAACCCAAATGTTACATTTTTTCATACCTTTTGGTATATATTTGTATATAGAAAATAGATGGAAAGTTGATGAGGTAAAGAAGTTGTAGAAGTCTGTTTATAGATGTTGAGAATTGTAGTTAAGTATTTCATACCAGCAATGACAAGATTGTTTGAAGGGAGCAAGAGAAGGCCAGTGCCAGGTAAGCAGAGAAGAAAGCAGAGAGAGATGAGGGTTGAGGGGGAGATGAAGCAAATCTTTGGTGGCTTTTAAAAATGAGAGAGATTTATACTAGATCTTGAAATGACCAGACAGCTAAAAAGGTACTAAGGAAAATGTGCATAACAGATTTCCATGTGGAAGAATATGCAGAGCTGTAGATACAAAGAAAATAAAATATCTCCTTTCAGAAGGGACGAGGGGGAAGGTTAAACGTTACCTTTTGACTTCTTTTTCACTCAGTCTTTAATTCTTTAAAATAATTATCTTTATATACTGTAGTGGTTTGTTTTAAGAATGAGCACTCATAAATGGTTACAAATATGGGTTGACCTTAAAATTGAAGTATTGACCTGAAGTGTGAAGGTTTGCTAAAATGTGCAGGAGACAGTTGTGGAAGTGGCAGTGGCCCGTTGAGGCTATGGGTGTTGTGTAAAGTAATATACTCGTTCTCTGAAGTTAACTGTCCAGTATCAAAATGGTTATCCAGCAGCTACAATAAGCTTAGCTAAGAAAATACCAAGCAGAGCTGAAGGCAGAAATAGTGCCTCAAATAAAATTCAAGTATGAAAACATGAGGAAACCTCATTTGACCCAAACTTGTGTTGTGTGCCTCAAGGATTCTTTAGTCACAGGGATTGATCTAGAGGAGCCAGAG